AATATAAATTATATCCACATATCAATATGGAAGAGAGAAACATGAATATATATCATATATTGGAAGTTTTGCTCGACTTTTGTTTAATAGAGTAAAATAAGATCCAATGGAGACAACAAAATGGTTGAACTACGAAGCAGATAAATCATACCGCTTTCTCGAGAGCAACTTAATAACACTCAATTTAACATGATACTCTCAAGCTTATCGATTCTCAGAAAAGCAAAAGTAGGGGATCCAAAGGAACCTTATTGACAAATGAAGAAATAAAGAGAATTGCTTACCAAAAATTGTCATAATGTCTCTCAATGCATGTGACATCAGAAGCCGTGATGGCTACTAGAGCACCACACCTGTGGGCCTCCTCACACGCCCTTGCAATTGTTTTAATTGTGTCGGGAAATTCGAATAAGTATCCTTCGACAATCAATATACTTGTTTTGGATATTAAGCTCGCCAAGCTAGGACAATAGTTCACCCGTGAAGATGTGCCCTGAGTTATTCAGAAAAAATCAATTTATGAGCACAAAAGTAGAGAAGTAGAAACATTAATCAGAATAAGAATTTACAATTTCCTTTTTGCATGATAAAGATGATTCAACTAATGATAATTAACATGTTGCTGACTACGATTATGATACGATGATGACAACAGCAATAAAAATCAATGCCGTGTTGATGAAGTCTTCAGTGAGAAAAAACAAGTTTGTATTTTAAACTCGCTACAGACCTGGTATGAGAGCATGGTCCTTTGAGCGTCCGGAGTTGTGAGAACAATGACGGTTCCAGTTGTTCCATCCTGCACCGGTGTTGAGAGGAACTTCACATTTGCTCTCCAGAGCTTCGATCTGTGTAAAAAAAAATTTACACAAATCACAAATTATAGATCCAACTCAAGTAATAACAGACAAAATCAGTAAAGCATATAATATGTGGTTGTCTTAAGAACATATATACCAAGTCTAAGTATAACTGAAAGCAGAGAGAACTTGAAGAATATGAAAACAGAAAATAAGGTGATGGGATGAAAAATAAAGTGTACCGGTAGAATCCACCAAGCGGATCACTTCCAACACTGCCAGCCATGGCAATATTGAGTGAAGGTCCTCCAATGGTTTGACCACCAAGCCTTGCCAAGGCCACCAATGTGTTAGATAGAGAACCACCAGCAGCAGCTTTATAGCTGCATCCATCCATGGCGCGTAAAACTTTACCCCTCTCTTCATGATTCACTACTTTCCTTGTTCCCTTGTTCAACCCGAGTCTAGCAAGAAATCCATCATCAACAATACCAGAAAAGTCCACCTACAACAAATTAAAGGAGAAGCTGCTAAATTAAATAATCCTCAGGGAAAGATGAAATAGTAAATAAGATTTTTATAAAGGAAAACATTATATTGGGAAGGTCAATTTTTTTATTACCATAGCTTGGCCGAGGCCCAAGACATGCCATCTATCAGGCAAGGAGGAAGATTGGGTCTCATTCTTTTCATGCTCTTGATGGGCTTCATCATCATCAGAATCAGAAACTCCTAATTCATCAGCTTCAATGGCAGAAAGACTGTCACTGTCTGCCGAACTGTAATCTGCTGCAGTAGGGTCGGCATCGGTGCCACTATACATAGAAGATGAATTGGAAATGGAATTTATTGGAACAAAGGCAGTGGAAAGATGAGAATGGAGAGGGGTGCGTTTAAAATTAGTTGAAGAGGCATGACAACAAAAGTGGGAGCAGGGATAGGCTGACGAGGAAGAAGAAGATTCTGAGATGGGAAGCTTTCTGACGAATGGTGATGAAGAATTGGATGAAACGGAGATGAGAGAGAAAGACATGATAATAACAACCAACCAATCACCACCTTTGTATCTGTTACCGTTAGATGGTTGAAGCTATTTGTTTTAGTAAGATTTGTCACGTGCTCACGTGTTCTTCATAACAACTTAGAAAACAATGACGTCTCATCGACTAAATATGCATCACATATCAAACCGTCAACTCTGAGTTCATTGATCACGTTCCGTTTTAACTTTCGAAGGCGCCTCTATTTTCAAGGTATCAGTCAAATTCCAACCATAGTGCCCCTAGAAAATAATTATTGCTTTTACATGTGAGAACAAACCAATAAAATAGGCGTCGGTAGGAGGGAAAAAATTCGTGATTTCATCCGAATAATTCTAAGCCCAGTAAAATGAGAATATTTTATGGCTTTTAGAGAGGGAAAAAACATAATAAACTCCATATTTAAAAACATTCAGGCCCTGTCAAGAACAAAAAATCCTTAAACCATTCTACAATAACCATTCAGCCAGCGAAAGATGGATATCACAATTCAGACAAACTACGATATGGCCAATACATTCAGCTCCTGAAAAAACACTAACATAATTGCTAATTAAATCTGAAAAAACTAACTAAAAATCACTAGCATTCAAAGAAAAGGAAAAGAATACCATGAGCAAGCACTATGTGAAATCAAAATTCATCGTCCAATTACATCATACATTCAAGTTTCATCACTTTCATGACAATCATACACACTCCTGTAAAATGCCTTGTGCAAAAGCAGTACACTATACCCATATTCAGTTAGTAAATAAAGCTCCTTGTAGCTCATTTGAATCAACTCATGAGAAAAGGATATTACAATTTAAAAACGAACTAAAATTCTAAGATATTGGCAATTAACATTCAGCTTGTGAAGTTCAATAACATAAAGAACCCCTAAAACCATTGAATGTGAATGA